GGGACATTGTCACGAGGATGGGGGCCCTGAAGGTAAGTCTTGAAAAGCAAGTGCTGTTGGGGTGGGAATCAAAGCAGGGATTATGAGAAATGGCAGGTCATGGGCTTGCTTTGGAATGGATTATCAACTGTACTAATTGAAGGAATTTATTGATGATTGCAATTCATCTGTTGCACTGTGGTGTTCCCTAAAGGCAGAGGGTGGACTCAGACAACTTGCAGTGAATTTGAACTCTTAAGTATTTGGCTTACATTCTTTTTTTTTTTTTTTTTTAAATTTTTTTTTTCAACGTTTATTTATTTTGGGGGGACAGAGAGAGACAGAGCATGAACGGGGGAGGGGCAGAGAGAGAGGGAGACACAGAATCGGAAACAGGCTCCAGGCTCTGAGCCATCAGCCCAGAGCCTGACGCGGGGCTCGAACTCACGGACCGCGAGATCGTGACCTGGCTGAAGTCGGACGCTTAACCGACTGCGCCACCCAGGCGCCCCTGGCTTACATTCTTAAAGGATTCCAATAACAAATGCGTATAAACCAGGGCCAGCCATGTTCGTAGACTGACTGAACACCTTGCAGAAAATACTATCCTTTCCCCCAGAAACAAGAAGCCCTATGGAAAGCGAACGAACAGAAAATAACAAGAAGCAGGACGCTTCTCCCACCCCACCCCGCCCCACATATATCCTACAATCTGTAGTCTCCAGTGTTTATTACCATGGCTGTATTGGATTGCTTCTTTGGTTTACTCTCTCCCAGCCCAGCTATTCTGTAATCGGAGCACAGAGAGTATTAAAGAAAGGCATTTTGTAATCTAGGAATAGTAGTTATCTTGACCTCATGATGCCTTGTTTACAGCGCCAGTCTGTGGTTTTGAATTTTGGAAGGACATTCCTGGCAGGGCTAGAAGTTCATCTACTGCTATTCAAAAGTATTCTGAGAAACTGTCAAAATCTGTGGGATGGAACCCTAAAAAGGCGAAAAGGAAAAACCCTTAGCAGTTCCATCTAGGTGTTTCTAGAGTAGCTGTTCTTCTAGAAGCTGATTAGTGTAACAAGTGGCTGAGCATGGTCGTTCCTAGGGTCAGAGTATGTGAGTCTAAATCCCAACCAACTCACTGGGTAGCTGAATAACCTTAGCCAAGTTACTCAAGCTCACTAAGCCTCAGTAAAATGGGAATAATAACAGGAGTCTAGCTCATATGATTAGTGTGAGGGTTAAATAAAGTAATCCCACACTCTCAACAAATTTTGGTCTTGTTTCTTACTGTTATATTGAAGATAATAATAATTATAATAACAATAACAGCAGGAATCCCTGAGGCTTAGACTGCTTTGCTCATGGACTCTCCAGAGAACTTGAGATCAAAGGAGACCTGAGGACTCTGTCCCTTACCTTGAAGCCTTAATTGGTAATTGGGTTTTGCCCAGGTCTTCATTAAATAGGTATATTCTATGGGCACCTGGGTGGCTCAGTCGGTTAAACTTCTGACTCTTGGTTTCAGCTCAGGTCATGATCTGGTGGTTCTTGAGATCGAACCCGATGTTGGGCTCTGCACGGTCAGTACAGAGCCTGCTTGGGATTCTCTGCCTCCCTCTCTCTCTGCCCCTCCTGTGCTCACGCTTTCTCTTGCTCTCTCAAAATAAATAAATACAACTTAAAAAAAAAATAGGTATATAGTAGATCATCAGTGTAAGATAAAATGTCACTCACACACCAGCATCTCGGATCCAGGCAGATGGCCTTTGCTAATGGGAACTGGGAAGGAAGGAGGCCCCCACTCCAGCTGTTAGAGCTGAGGGTCAGGTCACTCGAGGGGAAGAGCCTGGAGTAGGATCCTGAAGGGACCTGGTCATCTGTCCGGAAAAGTCTGAGTGGGAGCAGGGAGGCCAGCTTGGCCGCCGGGAGCTGTGGGATTCCCAGCAGGTAAGGCATTCCAGCAAACATTAGCCAGAGTTTTAGGGATTTTTCTGTCTGTGAATTCTCTGGTGCACCTCTTCAATTATGGTACAGTTCCTTCCAGACCAGAGGGAGGCTGCCCTGGCCTCTCAGAGCCCCAAGTGTGGGCTGGGTCCGGGGGCTCTCTAGCTCGGATGCAACAGTTGCTATTGTCAGTCACCGAGAACAGGGTGCGTACGCCGCGTGGGCAAATGAGCTAAATCGGACATAACTGCGCATGCTTCTCCCCGCCCCCCAGGAGGAAGGTGACCTTCAAGTACCATTTTCATCCTTTCCTAGTCCATGCCAATCCCATTGGTCTCTTAGCCACACTCTCGTAAGTGCAGTGATTCGGCTTCCCTCTGCCCTCAGATTGGTTTAGACCAGCTGTGGTGCACCCTTTCCGGACCGTTTCTATCAATTCTTAGCAGCTCCTGTGCTCATACAGGAAGTATGATTTCAGTTTAGCCTGGCGGTTCTGGGCCCATTAGACAGACACGGAGCCCTGCTGTTTGCAAGTCACCTTGCAGAGTGGCAACTCCAAATAGGACACAGCCCCTATGTACCTGGCGCTAAGATCAACTTGATGAGAGCAGTGGTCAGGATGACTTTGGAGTGCTAAGGAAGCATAGAGGATGAAGTGGAAACCGTGGGGAGTGGGGACTGGAGGGGGGACACGAGGAGCCCAGGAGAGGCAGATGAGGCAGGGACGGAAGCTGGTAAGGGCACTGGTCTTCCCGGCAGAGGAGAGGAGAGAAAACACGGTTGGATGTCGAGTGCGACAGAGGAAGGTGGGTGAGAGACGGAGCTGGAAATGAAAGCTAGGTGTCCCCTGACGGGCCGGGCCGTGGAAGGGAGCAAGATGAATGATCTAACTCGTGGGACCACGACAGTCCACAGGCTACTCAAGAAAGAGCCCTCAGGTTAGAACGCAGAGCCTGGGATTGAGGGGAGGGGGCTGACGCAGAGGGCCTGCCAAAGGGAGCAGTTCGGGCGACAGGTGCGAGCAGCCTGGGTACAGGGTGGTGATGCAGGTGTGGGTTTGGGGCAACGGCGACACCAGGTACTATGGGGTAGGGAAAGGGCATGCGCACTTGGGGCCCGACAGTGGGGCGAGTGTGAACAGGGCCGTGGGCCATTCTCCCACAGCTTTATTGTTTGGCACCTTACTCTCAGAGCCCGCCAGACAAGAGCTTACAGTGTAAAGAAAGTAGGAGACAGAAAAAGCTAGGTGAGTAGAGGGCTGTTAGAAAGGGGGGCTCGTTTAAATATTTTTTTAATGTTTATTATTTTTTTTCAAACTTTTTTTTAACGTTTATTTATCTTTGCGACAGAGAGAGACAGAGCATGAACGGGGGAGGGGCAGAGAGAGAGGGAGACACAGAATCGGAAACAGGCTCCAGGCTCTGAGCCGTCAGCACAGAGCCCGACGCGGGGCTCAAACTCACAGACCGCGAGATCGTGACCTGAGCCGAAGTCGGACGCTTAACCGACTGCGCCACCCAGGCGCCCCAATGTTTATTTATTTTTGAGAGAGGAGGGGGGAGGGGCAGAGAGAGAGGGGGACAGAGGATCCCAAAGCAGGCTCAGTGCTGACAGCAGAGAGTCCAACGCGGGGCTCAAACTCATGAACCGTGAGATCATGACCTGAGCTGAAGTCAGATGCTCACCCAACCGAGCCACCCAGGTGCCCCAGTGGGGGCTCGTTTAAAGCATAGGGGGCCACCACCTCAGAGAGCATGTGCTCCCAGGTGTGCCCATCGGCCGTGTCATATGAATGAACTTAATGCTCCTGAATTATGCAGGTACATGGACCCATCCCTCGACTCCATGCTGATGGACTGCACAGCAGCCGTAGATTTGATCCATATGCAGGTAAGGGTGACCAAGGACTCTCAAAACACCATGTGTTATTGACCATTTGGGACGGAAACCATTAAAAAAAAAATTGTGATAGTTAAGAATTCTACCTCCATAACTAGAATAGGCAAATTCACAGAGACAGAAAAGTACAATAGAAGTTATTAGGGGCTAGGTGGCAGGGAGTTACTGTTTAATGGGTACAGAATTTTTGCTAGGGATGTCAGGGATGCTAAAAAAGTAGGTATAAGAGTGTTCATGGTTACACAACTTTATGAATGTTTTTAGTGCCACTGAATTGTACACTTAAAAATGGTTAAAATGAGGGGCGCCTGGGTGGCTCAGTTAAGCGTCTGACTTTGGCTCAGGTCATGATCCCACGGTTCGTGGGTTCGAGCCCCATGTCGGTCTCTGTGCTGACAGCTCGGACCCTGGAGCCTGCTTTGGATTCTGTGTCTCCCTCTCGCTCTCTGCCCCGCCCCCCCCCCCTCTCAAAAAATAAATAAGCATTTAAAAATTTTTTTAAATAAAAAAGTGGTGAAAACGACAAATGCTATATACAGTTTACTACAGTAAAAAAATTTTTTTTAAGAAATAGAATTTAGAAAGAAAAAAAATTCTACCTCCATTTTAACCACCTCTCTGAGTTTTCTAGGTTGTCCCTGCTAATCTAGAAAGGTTTGAGTCTAGAAAGGGCTAGACTAGTCTAGACTAGTCTAGAAAGGTTGTCCCTGCTAATCTAAAGCCACATGTGTTCCCATCTCATTTTAGCATAATCTTCTTTTTACCTGAGCCAACGAGTAGCATACTTGCCTCCAGGGCCTGCTTCATGGGCACATAGCCTGCTCAGAAGAACCCCACAATTGTTTAATATTTGGCTGTTGCCATCTTGATCCTTAATTTTGGAACAAGAGACCTCACATTTTCATTTTGCATTAGGCCCTGCAGATTACGTTGGTGGTCCTGCCTACCCCTACCCCCTAACCCCCAGAAAGTACATTGAGAGTTTGGCCTCCTTTTTTTATTTTTTTTTTTTAAGGTTTATTTATTTTTGAGAGAGAAACAGAGTATGAGCCGGGGAGGGGCAGACAGAGGGAGACACAGAATCCGAAGCAGGCTCCAGGCTCTGAGCTGTCAGCACAGAGTCCGACGTGGGGCTCGAACCCACGAACCTCAAGATCATGGCCTGAGCCAAAGTCGGACACTTAACTGACTGAGCCACCCAGGCACCCCTGGCCTCCTTTCCCTTCCCTGATTCAGTGGTGAAGGTTCTCCTACGTGGTGGGGCGGTCACAGATGCTGCCTCTGTGATACCTCTCCATTTACCCCCCACCTCAGTTCTCCTGCCTCACCAGCCCCCTGCCCCTACATACACTATGATTCTTCATGGAATGGGAGTTATCACTTACACAGGCAAAGACAGAGTGGCAGTTTTCCCCTTTATATTCATAAAGCCAGAAATGACCACACTTCCAAATTTTCTTATAAAGCAACCACCAGGGGCTCTATGTGCCCAGGGAGAGGAAACTGCTCAGTTTTTCACTAAGCTCTATACAAAAGGACTGCCTGGCACAGGCCAAGAAGAACAGCTAAAGGCCAGAGGAATCACCAAATGCCTCAGAAGAAATAAAAGCAATGACCAGCCGGGGAAGGTCGGCATGGCCGGTTCACCCACCGTGCACCACTATCACAAGGCCCTGTGTCATAACTTAACTGGCAGTGTTTTTCCTTAGTGTCTCACAAAATCATGATATCAGAATCAAGGAGGTCTTCAATTGGACAAGCTAGAGCATCACTTGTGTCTATATCTCCCCCACTAGACCACCAGCCCCATGCAGGGACCTTGGCTTTTTCAGCACAGGGCAAAGCACCTGGGTGGGTGACCGAGCAGTCACAGGGAGCCCAGCAGCCAGCATGTCAGATAAGGAGTCACAGCCTATCTGCCCATTTCTCCTTATGTGACTTTTTAACAGGCCAAGGCAATCCAATAAATCATCTTCTCAAAGCTCTCCGAAATTCTAAGGAGCCAAACCAAAACATCACATATTGGATGTGCAATGGTCACCATTGTAGTTTCATGGCTAGTTTTGAGTTCATTTCTCGTCATACTTGGACCCATGTATAATCATGCTGAGTGTAATTAAAATCATGTTGTGTGAATGGGACCATACTTTACCATTTTACACGTTTACCGAGGCTCATCGCCGTCGCACCCTTGCTATTATAGTGCATTATTGGTTGCATCTGGTCTGTTTGATATCCCGTCCTTGGTGGAGGATGCATCACCTAATTCTGATATTGTTCTGGTGGGAAATAGTCTTTCTGGCCTGGTGATGAGAAGTAGGAACCTCCAGCATCACCGTAGGCATCGTATCTGTCTTCAACGAGGAGTTGTAAACCAGAGAGAAATGGACGGTGTTTCCTCTGCTGATAGCTGGGAAAAAAGATGGCTTCATGAAAAGCACAGGAATAGCAGTTTTGAAAATGCATTCTGTCCCTTGCTCTGTCACCGGCTGTCTCTCTCTGTGTCTCTCTGTTCACCCTTCCGAACTTTGAACTACAATGTCCCCCTGTTAAGTGATGGAAGGAACGGTTTCTAAGTTTTCTCTCAGCTTTACTAGACTGTTCTTCAAACCACAGTTCTTCGCTTGCAAAGGCTTCAAAAAATTATAGTTGATGTTATGATTATCTGTGCCATTATCATCACCGTTGTTATTACTGAATCCAAGTGGGGGTACCGAGAAGTCAGCTCCGGGGAGTCAGGACCGTAACTGCTGCCTCTTTGGGGGAAACTTTTCTCAGCTCCCCTCAAAAGAAAATGCCTTCCTCCCTCTCTGCTCCTGAGTACTTGTTTGTACCCTCCATTAAGGGTGCTACTCACCCAGCCATGTAAATATCATTTACATAAGTATTTGCCTAACTAGACTCTGAATGGCCCAGGGCAGAGACCGTCCTGGGAGCTTAGGATATGTGAATATGTGAGAAGCAATCATCCTTTAAAAAAATTAATGCAGAAAGTTCTTATGAGTTCTTCTGATAAACAACAGCGCCATCATAATTATTAAGGGAAACGCTTTTGATTGTTCTAAAGCAGCTGTGCCCCACGGGTGGATGTCCCAGGAGCCAATTGGACTCCCACACTGTTTCCCTTCTTTTATTTTAAATTTGAGTAGTATGAACAAAATGGAAGGTGGTATATAAAAGCATAAATGTCTGGGTTTTCTAAAAAATACCGAGGCTTGGTCAGTTCCGGGCCTGCATGTCAACACCACTGGCCTGTGTGGTAACTCTGTGCAAATTAGAACAAGGTGTCCCTTGCTGTAGGCAGGCTAACCCCGTAATGGGGCTCATGGCTTGGTGAAGGGAACATGGGCTGACCGTTAGCTTCCCCAGACCGTCACAGCCTGGTGCCCTTGCACATGGCCCGGCCTACTCACACAGCCCCGGCCTAGCTGTGCCATGCCTCAGCCAGCTAGAGCCCGGAACATGCCTTGCTCCCCACTTCTCACTGCTATACCCTCTGCAGGGGGTGCTGGGGCATGTGTGATTGAAGCTCATGAAACCCATGGCTTAGGTGATTTCACTCAATTTTTAAAAATAGGTTCTACATAACTTTCCAGCAGCCAGTCTTTGGGGAGCCATAGAACTGAGTAGAGCCATTCGTCTGAATTGGACTCTCTCATGGTTAGAGTGAGGTACTGTATGTGATGTATTCGATGACTCGCGAGCCCATAATCAGGGTCAAATCTTTTCTAAGGTAGTGAAACAAAAGCAGTTCTGTTCCTGCCAATGCAGGACATTTAAATCTCTGTATCTGAGCGTCCCAGGTCCCCTAATGGCAAATGACATATCTTCAGCTAGTACTTACTGTCGTGATTGCTGTTTACCTTCTTTATTTAGCTATACTTTCTCTTTGATATCACTGCCGAGTGATAACACTGCCGAGTCCTTACAGGGCTCTAACATCAAGCAGAATTCAGGAAAGGAAAGGTTCTAGATGTCTAGGCCCAGTTTTGAGAATAGTTGGTGACGAGGGGTAAGTCTTGGTGTGTGTAGCCACCTACATACTCAGAATTCAGTAGCTTGGGCATAGAGAGGAGGGTACAGTCGCCAAATCAGGGTTTTAACCCAACTCGTGCCACTTATTGCTGGGTTGTCTCGAAAGCCATAACCTCTCTAGACCTCAATTTACCCATCTATAGGATGGGGGGAATGTTCCTATCCCACAGACAATTTGCAAAGCTGAGAGAACCTATCTAAAACAGGTTCCCAACAAATATTTGTTATTTTTCTTCTCTTCTGTGAACCCATTTCCTTTTCCCCAACCTAAACAGCAAAATCAAAACTTTACTCATCTTTTCATTCTCCTGATGGAGATCAGGCATAACCAGTGGAGCACAGAGACTTACATTCAGACCAAGGTATAAATGAGTGCCTGACTATTGGCAAAGAATTATTAAATGTTTGCTGTATGTAAGACCTTGGACAAGATACACTGAGGGGAAGGACTCAAGGTTTTCTCTTGAGGGCTTAACAGGCTAACTGAAGACCAATGGAAAACTTTCTGAAAGCCTGATAAATAAAAGCAATACAGGCTAATGGTACCAATTTAAATCCCATCGGCTCTACATGGAATTTCCGGTTTCCCCAAATCTTTGCCAGCCCTGAATATTATATATATATTTTTAGTCTTTGCCAAGTTGAGAGGCAAAAAAATAAATAAATAAAATAAAATAAATTACCGATTACTAGTGAGGTTGAATATAGATTTGGAATTTGGAATTCCTTTTTGTCAATTGCCGATTCATATTCTTTGTCCATTTTCTTGTTGGGGATATTTACATTTTTCCTATTGCTTTATATAAATATCAACTCTTTTCCACATATGATGTGGTCATATTCTCTGGTTTGCCATTTGCTTCTTAGTTTTGTTCTTGATGGTTTCTATGCATAGAAGTTTTATATTTTCATGTAATTATATTTTCCTTTGTTATGACACTGATTCTGTATCTTAAAAATATAATCCTTACCTCAGCATCAGATTTCTTTTCCTGAATCTTTTTTTTTTTTAAACATTTAAATCTTTATCTGGATTTGTTTGATTGGGTGGTGTGGGGAAAGAGGCTAACTTCATTTTCTCTCCCCAGTGTGGCCAGCTGTCCCCAAACCATTGAACAATCTCTTCCTCCACCCACTAATTTAACAGTCAGCTCTATAACATGCTAAATCCTTATATATGTCCACTTGGCTCTGTTTTTATAGCCTTTCATACATGAGTGTGTTTTTGTCAGATTAGCTCACTTCTGCTAAGGTTGCTAATCTTACAACTTCTGTCGCTTTAAGGCACTACAGGACATTGAACAAGAATGGGCCAAACCCACACAGGCGCAGAGGCAGAAATTAGAGGCTCTCCAGAAAGAAGACAACCAAACAAAGGTGATCAAATATTGCACCAAGAGAAATCCCTTGGAGGGGAGTTAAAGAAACATATTGGAATTGAGCTGTTTCTTAATTTGTAAACCCATCAACCTCTGAACATGGGGGTCTTTTAAAAAAACGAGAACACCATCATTCATTTTTCTGATTCTATTCTTTAAAGATTCTGAAAAGCACAGACGATATATTGTGGTGAACCCTCTGCCAAGTTAATATAGACTCTCAGCATTCTTTTTAATGACCACAGCATATTGAGTTTTATAGTTGTCATTTAGCTAACCAATTTCTTATTATTGGAAATCAGGTTATTTCCAGTGTTTGCTGCTATAAATCACTTTGGCAGTGAGCGCCACGAGGCCCAGGACTGTGTCTAATTTAAACAGACCCTGTGTGTTCCCAACACCTGGTACAGTTCCTGGCTGAAGGTCCCTGAGCACTGCGGCCGGCATCCTCTGTCTTTGAGTACATGCTTCATTATTTCTTAGGATATATTTCTAACAGTCTGTTTTTAAAGCTTCCATAAAGATGGTACCAACTCACACTCCCCCCGTCCCCAAGCAGTGAGACGAGTCTGACAAACGGCATATTTTAACAGAAGAAATGGACCCTGCTTCATTGTGTTGTCTTCTTTATTCTCTAGGCTTTGCCAACATTCACTCACTGAGTGCAAACAGTGCAACTAAAATTTAGAGGACTCATTTATACCCACATTGCTATAGAAAGTAATTCTTCAAAAGCTCAGATATTTTGAGAATTTTACTGACAGGCAGGAAAAGAAGAAAAAAAAAAAAAAAGGAAAAAGCATATACTTCCACGATATAATATTTTCCTTCCTTGGCATTCCACCTCAGCTTTGTCACAAAAAGTTTGGAGTTCAATTTCTCTGTGTATTTGTAAATTTTGACAATTACAGTGTTTATTTTGAAGGATAGATTATTTGGATATGATTGGATATATCAGCTACTTTGGATACAGTTAGAGATTCTAACTGAGATTCATTCCTGTTCCATCAACTTTTTGATTTAACGATTTAGTAGGAATATCGTGCTTACCGTGTGCTATACTCTACCAAAATCTGTATTCGCATTTTTGACACAAAACACATTTCACGTCTATGATGAGTGTTTTACCTGATTTTACTATATTATCTGTCATAGTCATCTTGAAAAAACTTTACTTTGAGCAGGGCACCTGGGTGGCTCAGTAGGTTGAGCATCTGACTTTGGCTCAGGCCATGATCTCACAATTCATGGGTTTGAGCCCTACATCAGGCTCTGTGCTGACAGCTCAGAGCCTGGAGCCTGCCTTGGGTTCTGTGTCTCCCTCTCTCTCTGCCCCTCTCCTGCTTGTGCTCTGTCTCTCTCTCTCAAAAATAAATAAAAACATTAACAATTTTTTTTAATAAAAAAATAAAAAGTTTACTTTGAGTGTATGAATTAGATGAAAAAATCTGAACCATGATTCAAATGAATTTAACCGATACTCTCTTGAAGCATCTAAGGATACTGACGTCAAACTGGCATTATTTAAGTGTTTGTGATGTTCTTCTCCTGCTAATAGAGCCATCATGGTGACAACTATTGCTTTATTTTATGTACATGTGCAAGAAAACCTGGAATTGCAAATGAGTGGAATTAATTTAAAGGAGGAATTCGTTGATCTAAATCATAGGCTAACTACAGCCCATGGACCACTGTTTTTGTAAATGAAGTTTTATTGGCACACGGCCATGCTCATTCATTTTTGTACTGTCTAAACCTGTTGTTTGTGCTAGAATTGTAGAGGCAAGTAGTTACAATGGACACTGTGTACCCACAAAACTGAAAATGTTTACTACATGGCTGTTTACAGAAAAGTTTGCCAACCCTCGATCTAAATGAAAATATGTGGACATACCTTCTGCAGTTACGTATGTTAAATTATGTTTTTCAGGTGTAAGTTTCTTAAAGAAACTAATTTTCTTTAAAAAAACTAATCCTTGGGGCGCCTGGGTGGCTCAGTTGGTTGAGCATCCGACTTCGGCTTAGGTCACGATCTCGCGGTCCATGAGTTCGAGCCCCGCGTCGGGCTCTGGGCTGATGGCTCTGAGCCTGGAGCCTGTTTCAGATTCTGTGTCTCCCTCTCTCTCTGCCCCTCCCCCACTCACGCTCTGTCTCACTCTCTCTCAAAAATGAATAAACATTAAAACATTAAAAAAAAAAAAAAACTAATCCTTGCAGATTTCTCTTAGTTTTCGTAAAGTCAGTAACATTACCTGCTTCTCGAATGACAAATCCCAACAAGCATTTGAATGGCTGACGTATTCATCACTGACTTTCTACAGAAATGGAGCTTAACTGTTATTATTTTTTTTGAATGTTTATTTATTTTGAAAGAGGGAGGGAGGGAGAGAAGGAGAGAGAGGGAGAGAGAGAGAGAATCCTAAGCAGGCTCCACGCTGTCAGCATAGAGCCTGACACGAGGCTCAGACTCCGTAACCAGGAGATCGTGACCTGAGCCAAAATCGGATGCTTGACCAACTGAGCCACCCAGGCGCCCTGTGGAGCTTAACTTTTAAATACTTACGCTCTTTTAGAAGATCGCAGCCAAGAGCCGATTATAAAAAAAAGTTTTTAAAGGTGTTACCAAGCAATAAGGGCTTGTATCATATAATAAAGAAGAAACTATTGTAGCAAGAGCTTGAAACTACTCTTTCTGCTCTGTGGCAAGATAACTCCGCCCCCGCCCCCACCCCCGCACGCAGTGCATCTACTCAGGACCTGTCATTTCTGATGTTTCCCACTGACCCAAGGGGAGGAGGCCTGGCAACTTCATGCAGCTTCTAAGTCAAATAAATGAAGCACAATGAGCTGGTATGAGGACGTGTGGCTGGAAGGGACAGGAGCCTCAAGTATGTCTCCTACCTCGTATGAACAGTCGGCTATCCCTCACTGCTCATGTCTCAGCACATTTCACCTTATCAGAGAGTGCTTCATGTGGTCCTTGAAGGGACTTGGCCCCCCTTCAAAAAAGGATCTGGAAAGTGCCAGGTTGTCACTGAGTGATCTTTCTTCTTTGACCACGTGTTAAAGTGAGAACTGCTTTTTCTGAGCGCGCCTCTCGCACAACATCAGGCAGGACCCTGGCGAAAGCTGGAAGAACAAGATCGAGAGAGGTCCCCAAGCTAATATCAGTTAAGAGCAGTGGTTAATAATAACACTTTGTTACAAAAATGAAAAGTCCTAGGAATAGATGTTGTCAGGACAGGGTGCCTGGACCACACTTGTGAACTGCAACTGTCCTCTGTCCTTAAGCCAAGTCAGAAGCAGAGGGAAAGCTAAACCTTAAAAGTCACATAAAGGTGTTCCCTTGACACTTTGGGGCTGTCTGTAACCCTACTTAGGAAGCAGACTCACTCTCTCATTTCATTGCCATTCGCAAAATCTCTTCCTCCGACAATTCATATATTCATCATACAGAGCAGACTGTAAAAACTATGTTCTTCCTACATAGACCTCAGCTTAGTTAAAAACAAAAAAAATTTTTTTTGAGGAGGCTCCACACCCAACATGGGGCTTGAACTCAAGACCCTGAGATCAGGAATCACATGCTGTATGCACTGAGCCAGCCAGGTGCCCCAACAGCATTTTAAATATACACTTTTTGTGTATTTTGCTGTTGTAACCTGCTGAGATAGAATCATATCTACTCCTTCATTTGGTTCACTCTATTCGTCTCCATTCATCATTCACTCCCTGAATATTTTCACTCCCACTATGTACCAAGCACTGCAACAGAAGAGACACAATGGTGAATGAGGCAGAAATGGTCCCAGCCCTGGCGGGACACACCGTGAACTTCCCCAGGCCTTAGTGTCAGGGAGCACAAGGGACACCGTCTTCATTTGTATCGTCCAGAAAAAAAGGCGCTTTCACGGCGACTCCGTCCCATGTGTGCTCCTAGAATGGCAGTAGCTTCCGGCATGAGGCCGTTCCCTTTTTCAAGTCGTCTTTTGCTTCTTCCGACCTGCCCCCGCCCACCCCGCGCAGTTTTTGGAGCTGTCCCAAGAGGTACGGCACTATGGATACCTGCAGCTGGATCCCTGTACCTGTGACTACCCGGAACCGGGCTGTGGGGCCGTCCTTTCTGTCGGCAGTGATGAGATCAGCTGCTGCATAACCCTGCCTGATAACCAGACCCAGGAAATCATCTTCCAGATGAGCAGAGTGAAGTGCTGGAAGGTCACTTTCCTCGTAAGTATCTTGGCACTTTGCCTTCCCCAGGATTTAAGGTCTCAACCCGTGGTTTCAGGATCCTAGTGTTTGGGGGTGACACAGTTGGGACTAGGGACATAGGCCTGCCATTTGTATCACTGTCTTGAGTGGGCTGGCATCTAAGCCATATTAAGCATCACCTAAGGTAAAACCTGTCAACGGGCTGGTACGAGGGTCCCAACCATAGCGGTAGAGACGCCCATCTCTCCACTTTGCAGCAGCAGGCTCCTCTACTGCCGGAAGGGTGGCTCTTGTGATACAGCCCATAGAAACAATGGCTACTGCCTATTGAGTACTCACTGCATCATCAGTACTGACGAGATCTTTACCCTCGGAAACTGGACGCCGACCAGTAGAGCTCTTCTCAAGGATCCCTGGCATCATCCTGCCATTGCCGTCTCCAACCAGAAGAAACCCTGTGATCAGATTTATTGAGTGCCTGCTTTGTCCCGGGTGCTCTCCCGGATGCTGCCACATCTGGTATTCAATTCAATTCTCGCAATAACTCAGTGAGCTGAGTGGGATTATCCCCTTTATGAGGGAGGCCAGATTAACTGGTGCAGGTGAAACACTATTAGAGCAACCGTGACCCCCAGTTGCTAAATCCATGGAATCCACGGGGAGTTTTTAGCCGGCACGATACTAGACCTCTCTGTGGCATTTGACTCTGTCAACCATTTCTTCCTTCTCAAAATTCCCTCTCCGGGGGGGGGGGGGGGGGGGGGGGGGCACTAGTTTTGGGTCTGCTTCTTCCTCTGAGCACTTCTGAGGTGCTGGCTTCTCCTGGGGTTCCATTTCCATCTTTCCTCTATGTCTTCCCTGAAAGCAGTTATCCACGTCCCTGTCGAAACGTCCATTATTTCCTAACGCCTTCTGGACATCTTCACCAGCTGTCTCACAGGCATCTCAAACTCGGCCTTTCCCCAAACCAGACTCACCCTTCCCCTCTCAGGCCCATCCTAGAGACCTTCCTCCTATGTTCCCCATCTTGGTAAACAGGACTTCAACCACCACCTGCTAAATGTCAAACCAGCAATCTTGACATTATCAGCATATGATTTCAGTCTTTTACATTGATGGGAACTTGTGTTGTGGCTCCGAATCGGGTCTGTCTTGGTAAATGTTCCATGTGCTGTTGAAAAGTGTGTGTATGTGTATTCTGCCACTATTGGGTGGAATATTCTAGAAGTGTCAATTAGATCAATCAGTTGATAGTGTTTAAATCGCCTGCATCTTTATATATTTTCTACTTGTTCTGTCAGTTATTGAGAGAAGAAGAAGGTTAACACCTTCACACGCAATTGTGGATTTATCTATTGATTTGAGTTTTATCTGTTTTTCCCTCTTTTCCTACCTTTTGATGAAACTAAGTATTTTATGATTCCATTTATATATACCATTTTTAAGCTATGTCCTTTCATTTATTTATGGTTACTTTAGAGTTTATAAAGTACTTTTTTAACTTACTACATTCTACTTTTAATCATTATACCACTTCGCAAAGTATAAAAACCTTACAATAGTCTACTTCTATTTCCCGTTTTGTAATATTGTCATACTTTATTTTGACATGTATACATAACCTCATGCTACATTATAATTATTTTTGTGTTTAGTTTTAAAAATTTTTTAATGTTTATTTTTGAGAGAGAGAGAGAGAGAGAGCGACAGAGCTTGAGCAGGGGAGGGGCAGAGAGAGAGGGAGACACAGAATCTGAAGCAGGCTCCAGGCTCTGAGCTGTCAGCACAGAGCCCTACACGGGGCTCGAACCCACAAACCGTGAGATCATGACCTGAGCTGAAGTCAGACGCTTAACCGATTGAGCCACTCAGGCGCTCCATAATTATTTTTGCTTTTAAACAGTTGAATCTTTTCAGTTAAACTTTTAATTTTGACGTAATTGTAGGTTTGCATGCAGTTGTGAGAAATGGTACAGAGATCCTGTGTAGTTTCCCCCCACTTTTCTCCAGTTGTTATGTCTTGCAAAACTACAGTACAAACAATATCGACACCACAATATTGGCACTGATACAGTCAAGAGTTGGAACATTTTCATCATCACAAGAACCCCTCACGTCGGCCTTTTATAGCTCTACCCACTTTCTCTCACCACACCTCTCCTTAGCCCCAACAAACCACTTGATCTGTTTGCCATTTCTATAATTGTGTGATTTCGGGAGTGTTAGGTAAAACTTTGGAGGTGACGGATATATTCATTACCTTGATTGTGGTGATGGTTTCATGACTGTACCCATATGTCCAAACTCATTAAATTGTGTATATTAGGGGCGCCTGGGTGGCTCAGTCGGTTGAGCGTCCGACTTCAGCTCAGGTCACGATCTCACGGTCCGTGAGTTCGAGCCCCGCATCGGGCTCTGGGCTGATGGCTCAGAGCCTGGAGCCTGCTTCCATTCTGTGTCTCCCTCTCTCTCTGCCCCTCCCCCGTTCATGCTCTGTCTCTCTCTGTCTCAAAAATAAATAAAACGTTAAAAAAATTAAAAAAAAATTGTGTATATTAAACATGTTCAGTGGTTTTTTTTTTTTTTACATCAGGTATACCTCAATCAAGCTCTTTATTAAAAAACAGAAACACTCATAAAACAGTTATGTATTGATCAGTAGATGAAAATGTTGTAGCCACACATTTGCAGGAACCTGGCCCCGTATTTCCCCTGGAACAATGATTCAGTGTTCAGTATTTCACTATGTACAGTGGCTTCATAGAACACGACTACTGTGAATAATAAGAATTGACTATATTTAGGATGTAAAAATATAAACAAAAACAAGGAATTGATTCCCTTAAAAATGTTCTGTAATGGAATCATATGGCATGTAGCCTTTAGGACTGGCTTTTCTTTACTTGGCGTAATTCTTTGGTAATCCATTCAGATTGTTGTTTATATCAGTAGTTTGTTTCTTTTTATTGCTGAGCAGTATTCCATGGTATGGAATGGACGAGATTTATTTAACCATTCACCCAATAAAACGTATCTGGTTGTTTCCAGTTTTTAGCTGTTATGAATGAATAAAGCTCGTGTAAATGTCCGTATATATGTTTTGGAGCACAAATCTCCATTCCTCTGGCGTAAACTCAGGAGTGCAACTGCTAGGTTATATGGGAGTTGCATGTTTAGTTTTTTTTTTTTTAAGACTGAACAGTTTTCAAGGTGTCTGTGCTAATTTACATTCCCGCCAGTGATATACGAGCCATCTTGTCTCTCTGCGTCCTCATCAGCATTTGATGTCACTGGTTTTATTTTAGTGTGTAATGATATTTCATTGTGATTTTCATTTGCATTTCCCTCATGGCTGATAATGTTGACCGCCTTTTCGTGTGCTTATTTGCCATCTGTATATCTTCTCTGGTGAAATTTGTTTTTCATATCTTTTGCCTATTTTCTAATTGAGTTGTGGGTTTTTTTTTTACTGCTATTTTGAGAGTATTTCATACGTTGTAGATACTAGTCTTTTGTTGGATATGTGGCCTGCAAATATTTTCTCTCACTCTGTAGTTTTTCATCCTCTTAACAGGGACTTTTGCAGAGCAAAAGTTTTTAATTTGATGAAGTCTAATTCATCAGTTTTTCCTTTTATAGACCGTGCTTTTCAGTGTCAAGTCTAGGAACTCTTTGCCAAACCCTAGATCCTGAAGATTTTTTCTTAGAGTTTCTTTCCTAAAGGTTTTATAGTTATAGGTCATACATTTAAGCCCATGACTCACTCTGAGTTCGTTTTCATAGAGGGTGTGAAACTCAGAACCACGTCCCCTTTCCTGCCTGCGGAAGGGCACTTGCTCTGACGCCTTTTGCTGCAACGGCTGTCCTTTAACTGAATTGCTTTTGCACCTTTGTCGGATATCAGTTGGGCACATGTG